TTTTTTAAAAAATAATATAAAAAAGTTTGTGTGATGTAGTAGCATTTTTTCTGTGTGGCTGTGGCATAATCATGCCCTTGTTTCAGAGAATCTGAGGTGAAAAGTCTTTTTTGGGTTCAAACTTTTCTCGGTGTATACTATTTTGCGCGGTTGAAACTGGATTTTTTTTTTTTTTGAATATTAAGAAATTTTAAAAAATGAGGGATTTTTTTTTTTTTTTAAGTTGTGGGTGAAAGTCAAACTTCGTCATCTTAAACTCAACAATTAAGGTTCCGGGGTGGATCATGGGACCTGAAGTCCCGGTTTGCGGTGGAAACTGTGTTTGGTGTTAGAAAGATACATAATTTTTATCTCTTCCTCTGGTAACCAAGGTTCTTTGTTTTATTCCACGCCACTCGCTACAGTATGTGTTTGTGTAGAGATAGAGACAGAGCAGAGAACTAGAGACTGACTCATCTTTTTTATTTTTATTTTTATTTTATTTTTCTTCATTTTTTTATTAAATTAATATTTTCTCAGTTTTTCGGCCTTGGAAAGGGAAAATATGATTTATGGTGTTAGAAAATCAAATGACTTTTTTCCATGGTTCTATAAAGATTCAACCTAGAAATTATGTCTTCCATTTCTCACTAAAGTAAAATTCAACCTTTTACATTAAATGAATAACACCACGACAAGGATTTACTCAAGAAATTTGTTTTATAATTCATATCATATTAAATTACAATCAAAAAAATATATTTCTTAGTAATTATTAAAATGAACCCCTCTTATTTCTCTTAAAATAAATCTCCCTTTATATTTTTAAGTTAAATAAAATTAACTTTCTTGCATTCTAATTGAAATATATTAGTCAAAACTTAACAAATATCATAATCATATGTCATCATTTCATCTTTTCCTTTCAATACTTGTTAAGTTCTTACTAATTAATTTGGCAGTTTTGAGCCTTTATATATATATATATATATAACATGGCATTTTTCTTATATGTAACCAAATGAGATTGGTTAATTCTTTCTTTGCTAGTCAGCTTGATAATAGAAAAATAAAATGTTTTGTCACGAACAAAATGGGTCCAAGATTGCTAAATTAACAAATGCTTAAAAGGTATTAAAGAGAAGTTAGAAAGATGATCTAAGATTACCTTGTCTATTAGATTTTAGCTAACTTATTCAAGTGAAATGTACGAGTACTAATTTCATTCAACTTGAAAGTATGTGAGAAGATTTATATATTAAAAAAAATATATAAGGATTTATTTCAATAATTATTGAAAACAAAGGGGTAAATATACCCTTTTCGTAAATAAATTACACTGCTTCAGCCTCATTTTCTTCTAGAAAAATTTTATTTCTTATATTCGGCTTAAATCTAGTTTATCATTTATCCTACAAAAATAAATGCAATTTTTCATTGAAGGTCTAAAAAAATGGAAATGCAATTCAAGAGATAAATGTTAAAATTCATATGTTGAATCATCAATATTATAATATTTGTAGGATTGTAAGTTAATAATTATATATGATATTAAATGAGATGTAATATAATATTAAGTAAATAAATAAATATAATATAATAAATTAATTTTTAAATAAAAAATTAATTATTTCATAGTAAACTATATTTTATATTTATAATATTTTATACTATTGTAAATTTGTAATGGGAACATTTTGTACTACCAACGTTGAAAAGGTAACAAAATTTGGGAAAAAAAAGGAAGGAAAAAAATGTAATTTGAAGGTGCTTCAGCTTTAAACTTGCTTTTTATTTCTTTTCAGTCCCTCGTGGTCAACATATTTCTCCTACTCTTCGCGTTCAGGTTCTGCTGTTCTGGTGGGAAATACCGACTCCACGTCTACGAGTGGGGGACAAATTTGTGGATAAAATATTAGGGTTTTCACAGATAGATTTCCGTCACAAATCTTGTGTGGGATTCAGAAATTGGATGATTCAAGCAATTTAATCAGTGATTAGTAAGTGAGTCCTGGGTGTCACTTGATTAATTTGCTGAAATCAGCAAGAGGGATCTTTGGGCGAGTAAACAACGTCCTGAGGATTAAGTTTTCTAGCAAATTTGAGGTCGCAGCCTTCAAAGATTTCCACCATTATCATTTCTGAGGCAGATTCAATTTGCCATTTGGATAGTGTCGTTCAGGTATATATGCTCTTAGACTCTCAAAGTTTCTATCTTTACTGTACATGTTTCTATCTGAAATCAACAAAATGCATTAGCTCAAAGATTGAGCTATGAAAACAATGGAAGAAAATGTGAAATGAACTAAGCTTAATTTCTCTGAAATCGGGCTATGATTTTTTTCATTCATAGCTTGAAATACATTTAATTGGTGCCTTACCACCCAACCACTGACTAATATCAGCAAAGGTAATCTCACAATCTTCTACATTATTGTGGCAGGACAATTTAGGGAGAAACATCTGGGGCTTTTATGTGATCATGTATTTGATTCCAGCCAGGTTTCACACGTGGAGCGGGTATGTCAATTTTCAATTTTAAGTCATCTTTCTTTTTTTGGTATATATGTAGCCTCTCCTTATTTCAAATCCCTCCCCTACGTGATGTTTGAACATGAGATCTCTAATTTAAAATCTCAGACTCTTAACTAGTTCAACTATCCTTGGGGGCTCAATTTTAAGTCATCTTATTCTTCTTCTGTCTAGGAATACTTGAATTGGTATTGTGTGCTTTCATGATCACCTTTAACATTTAGCATTCAAACATACTTTCATGATCAACTTGCTTTATTATTCCCATTCATACATGTCAATGTTCTTCTTTTATTATTTGATCAACTTGCTTGACTTTTGGTCCCATGCTGTTATGATCGTATTTAACATTTAGAAGCATTCAAGTCAAGTTGCTTCCGTGAATTATGGGGTGGATGGATTCTGATAGATATTTGTGCTTCTGAAAACTTGAAAACAAATGGGAATAATTCTACAAGAGTGCCATTTTGTATGTTGATATTTTCAAGGATGTGGGTTGAATTAGTATGAGCAGTCACCATCATCTTTGACATTTAACAGTCAAGTTATTGTAGGATTTATTATGAATAGTGATAGTTAATGCTTAAAAAACCTGTGTGATACGTTGGTTCAAAAGGGCCAAGCTTTTGCCCTCTTCCTTAGCAAATAAATTGAATATAATTGTCTATAAAAGCTCTTCACTTTCATGAATTTCTACAAGTTCAAAACCAACATATCCAAACAAGCCATGGCTTCCTCCTCCACTCACTTCTTTCTTTTAAGCTTGGTTTTCTTGATGATCTCCTTCTTTCAACTATCCTCACATCAGCAACTGTGTCGTAAGGATGAGTATCTTGCTCTAATGCAATTCAAATACAGCTTTGTCATTGAAAGGCAAGCATCTACTTGTCCTAAAGTCGATCTCTGGAAATCTCAAGGGGTTGATTGTTGCTCATGGGAGGGCATCTGGTGTGACCAGAACACTTCTCATGTCATAGGCCTTGATCTCAGTAGTAGTTGTCTTTTTGGTTCTATCAATTCCAGTAGCAGCCTCTTCCGCCTTGGACACCTTCAATACCTCAACCTTGCACTCAACGACTTCAATTTCTCTAAGATACCATCTACAATGGGCAATCTTACCAGGTTAACTTATCTCAACCTCTCTGGTTCTTACTTTTCTGGTCAAATTCCACATGAAATTTCAAAACTCTCCAATTTAGCTAAGCTTGACCTTTCTTTCAATCTTGATTATTCACATCAAGGATTATTGGAACTCAGAAGGCCTAATTTGAACAGCCTAGCTCAAAATTTAACCAAGCTAGAATGGCTTGACCTCTCTTTTGTTGATATAAATTTTCCAATACCTAAGGCCTTGGCAAATATGTCATCATTGACATATCTACATTTTGGTCAATGTGGATTGCTTGGAAAGTTTCCCACAGACATTTTTCAGCTACCTAAACTTCAAGTCCTTGATTTGGATAACAATTGGGAACTTAGTGGTAGTTTTCCTGAATTTTACTCTCATAGTCAGCTTAGGGTACTTGATGTTGCAAACACAACCTTTTCTGGTGAGTTACTTGTCTCGATAAGAATGCTCAGCTCTTTGGAATATTTAGATGTTAGTAGTTGTAACTTCTCAGGTTTAGTACCATCTTCAATTGGTAATCTCACCAAGCTCCTTGTCTTGAACCTCCTAAATAATTCTTTCTGGGGAGAAAATGTTCCTTTTTTCTCAAACCTCACTCAACTAATTGATATAAATCTTAGATTAAATCAATTCACTTTTAGTGAGGTCCCTTCTTCTTTGGCTAGCTTAACCTATCTCATGAACATAGACCTTTCTGATAATCATATTACTGGCCATTTTCCATCTTGGATTACAAACCTAACAAATTTAAGACAATTGCTTCTCGGGTCTAATATGTTACAGGGATCTCTTCCTAGCTCAATTTCCAGACTCAAGAACCTTGAAACACTCCATCTTAGTTCCAATAACTTAATTGGTATTGTTGAGTTTGACACATTTCTTGAACTCAAATTCCTTAAAGTATTGCGTTTAGGCTTCAATAATTTTTCATTGGTAACCAAAACTACCACTAAGAGAACAATTCAAAAGTTTGGAACACTAGGTCTTTCTTCTTGTAATCTAAGAGAGTTTCCAGACTTTTTGCGTAACCAGAGTGAATTGAATGTCCTCGGCCTTGCCTCCAACAACATCCAAGGCCAAATACCTACTTGGATATTGAATATGAGTGCAAGTTTGTGGATTTTAGATCTTTCTCACAACAACCTCACTAGTTTTGAAGAATCCTTCCTTGTTTTTCCTTCTAGTCTTTTATATCTAGACCTTAGTTTTAACTTTCTCAAAGGTTCTCTACCAATCCCACCACTTTCCATCCTTTTCTACTTAGTTTCCAAAAATATGTTCAATGGAGAAATTCCACCTCAATTCTGCAACATGACTTCTCTTCAAATGCTTGATTTGTCTCACAATAATTTGAGTGGAAGGATGCGACGATGTTTTGGCAACCTCAGCTCCATGTTGGTTTTAAACTTGGAAGGAAACAACTTCCATGGTCCTATTCTTGAAACATGGGAAACTGGAAACAAACTCAAAGCAATTAAATTGGGACAGAATAATTTGCAAGGGAAGTTACCAAGATCACTAGACAACTGCAAAATGTTGGAGTTTCTTGATCTTGGAAACAATAAGATCAAAGACACTTTCCCTTTTTGGTTGGGGGCTCTTCCTGAATTGAGGATTCTCATTTTTCATTCAAATAGGTTCCATGGTGCAATTGAAATGAAAGTGCCAGGGACAGATTTGTTGTTTCCCAAGCTCCACATCATTGACCTTTCTGACAATGGATTTGTTGGTACTTTGCCAATAGACTTCTTTGCAAGATGGAACGCCATGACTGATCTTGAGGAAAAGAACGCAACATATTTGCATGCATATAACCATCATTTCATGGTGAACCATATGATCATTCCTTATCAATTTCCTTACTCAATGACAATAACAAACAAAGGAGAGAAGATCGAGTATGCAAAGATCTTAGAGGTTTTCAGTGCCATGGATCTTTCTTGCAACAAATTTGATGGAGAGATTCCAGAAGCAATTGGGAACTTAAAGCAGCTTCAATTGCTCAATCTTTCCAATAACATTCTTGTTGGTCCAATCCCAATAGCCTTGGGATATCTCACAAATCTTGAAGCACTTGACCTTTCTCAAAACAAGCTCACAGGAAGAATTCCTACACAATTAACACAACTCAATTTTCTTGAAGTCTTCAATGTATCTCACAACCATTTGACAGGACCCATCCCCACAGGTCAACAGTTTGATACATTTGAAAACAGCTCTTTTGACGGAAATTTAGGACTGTGTGGAATGCCACTGTCAAGGAAATGTGACCACTACAACTCTGAGGTTTTGCCTCCATCTTCAACCTCCAAAGGAAATGAAGACTCTGGATTGTTAGCTGAATTCAGTTGGAAATTAGTGTTGTTGGGTTATGTATGTGGATTCCTCATTGGTGTGGTCATTGGAAACATTGTTTTTACAAGAAAATGTGAATGGTTTATGAAGACATTCCGAGTCAAGTATCCAACAAGGCAAAGGAAGGGGGGGATGAAAGATTGAATAGGAGCAAGGAGTGAAGATGATATCTATCCCCTTTGCTATCACTTCATTGTTTTTTTTTTTTTTCTCGTACTTTTCTCTGCATGTGATTACAAGTTCAGTGCAAGTCCAATGTACAGTATAGAGTGGAATTTCAATCTTGATGAACAAGTACTTATACTGCTACTTCAGTAGTTGATATGGAATATTAATAATTTCCTTTTGGTAAATTCTTTGCCTTCCATAAAGAGAGAAACAGAGAAAAAAATTATATTCTGGCCAAAAAAGGAGAAGAAAATTTTTTGAGACACATGTGATATTTTGGTTGTATATGATTTGTTGTAATTTTTGTTTAAATTGTACATAGGACCACATAATTTTTACTTAAAAGAAACTATAGAATGTTAAGATCCTGGATTCCACACAGTAAGAATAGAAGTATCTGAAAAACCCCAGAAGCAACAGGATTGAGAGTTTTTTTTTTTTTTTTTTTTTTTTTTTTTTTT